CAAATTATTGAGGAGCAATGATGTCAGTTTGAGGACTAAGGTGCATCTGATTCAGACCGTAGTCTTTTTGAACACTTCCTGTGCATCTGAGAGCTGGACAATGAATAAGGATTACAGAAGAAGAATTGATGCCTGTGAGCTATGGCATTGAAGAACATTGAAGAACATTGAAAAGTCCATGGACTGCCAGAAGAACAAATGTCTTAGAGATTGTGCGGCCAGAATTCCTTAAGAGGCAAAGATGATAAAGGTTGATCTCCAAATTTGAATACGTTGCTAGGAAAGGCCATTCATGCCTGGAAAGAAAGAGCGTTGGGTGAAGGAGAAGAAAACCCTTAACCACATAATCTGACACAGTGACTGCCTCAGTGGGCTCTAGTGTGTCAGGAAGTGTGAGGATGAAACAGGATAGGACAGAGTTCAGATCTTTTGTCTATAGGGTTGCTATAGGTTGTATACTTAACTTCACAACACCTAACAATAACTAACAGTCTAGTTAGGGTGAAAAAAAGTTTTGCCATTAGCTAGTTGGGTATAGCTCTGTCAAAAGGAGAAAGGGACATAAAGGTAACTATGGTAAGTATTTAATTGAAGGATAAGTAGGTGGCAAATATAGTAAAGGCACTTACTCTGAAAGTGGGAATAAAGCATAGAAATTATGATAAATCATTGTAGTCAACACAACCACCATTTGAAAAAAACAACATGCTTCTCTTACTGTTACACTGTCTACCACAAAGTAGAATTTGGCGATAAACAAAAAATATCTGTTGTCCCAACTATGAGTCCTAGGATTTGTGCTTTTTACTGGTATTTTCCCACTGGTTATCTGATTTTAAAAATGTGTGTGTGTGTGTGTGTGTGTGTGTGTGTGTGTGTGTGTGTGTGTGTATTACTTTTCCCATAAAGCTAATTTATTCTGGTCAAACACCTGCTCTTTATTTTGACTTTATATCATTCTTTATATCATTTCAGCATCATTGAATGTTCTTTTAAGAAGAGTGCTAAGTAGTTGATAGATTGTTTTTTAAGGTTCTTACTAGACAAAATAAAATATTGGAAAACATGTATCAGCTTCTCCCATTAACTAATACTTATCTTTAGAACTCAAAGTTAAAAAAATCACTGAGCCAGTTTCCTTAAGAGTTCTGGGAACTGTGGTTCCTGGATATTACATAAATGTAATTGCTAAGAACTATTTAATATAGTATTTCTAAGAAAGTTTAAAGGAATCCATTTCCTAATATTGTTAAGTATCATCAGGTAGGAACCAATTCATAGCTAACCCTCCAGTAGGTTTTCATTTCTCTTTCAGAGCAGTTGTTGGATTTGAACTGCATGCCTCTGTATTAGCAGCATACCTCCTTACCACTAAGCCACTGAGGAGCTCCCTAGTTCCTAATAATTTGTATTTGATATAGAAATCTAGTTCTTGTGATTAAGAATAGAGATACACATTTTGTCACCCACCACACCGTATCCTACCCTACTATTTTGGGGTCAGTAGTGACTCACTTTGACTCTCTATTAGGTTTCCATGGCTTTAAAACTTTATAGGAGAGTGCCCTTTTGTGAAGTGACTGGTGGACACAAAGTTCTCCTTAGAGGCAAGGGTGATAAAATTTTGCTTCATAGACTTTGGTCATGTTTTCAGGAAGGGCCTGCCTTGGAAAAAAGATAATGCTGGAAAAGGTAGATGTTGTTGTTTGGTGCCGTTGAGTTGTAGATGACTTATAGTGACCCTATGAACAAACATCCTGAGCACTGTTCGTACATAGAGTTTCCAGAGGCAAGCCATTTCGGAAGTGGATGCCGCTCCTGCTTCCAGGCTTGTTTTAGTTGGGAAGCTCCAGCCAACACTGCCCACCATGGGTTCCCATTACCACGATTGGCACATCACTGTCACTGTCTTCAGCATCACAGCAACCACGAGTTACCTAGGGTAGATAGTCAGTGAAAAACAGGAAGACCCTTAACAATATGATTGACACAGTAACTTCAACACTGGGTTTGAGCAAGGTAGCAATTGTGATATTGGTGAAGGATAAGGTAGGGGCTCAATCCCTATGCTACAAGTCATAGTTGATTGAACAGTATCTAATAGCAACATGCCTTCAAGGCTCCTTAAATAAATGATATTGTTATATGCTGTTGAGTTGACTACGACTTATATCAACCCCATGAACAACAGCTCTAAATCTTGCCCTATCCTGAGCCAATTCCACCATCTCTGACATACTTGACCCCATTACCACAGTCACTGTGTCAATCCATCTCATCCAGGGTCTTCCTCTCTTTCAATGACTTTCTGCCCTTTCAGGCATCATTGTCCTTCTACAAGGACTGGCCCATACTGACAATATGTCCAAAATATGAGAGATAGAGTTTTTAAATCTTTGCCTCCACAAAGCAAGCTAATTTTACCCTCTCTAGGACAGATCTACTTGTTCTCTGGGCAGTTCAGGGTATGGTCAATACACTTTCAAAGGCATCAATTCTTCTTCTGTTGTCCTTATTCATCATCCAGCTCTCAGATGCATAGCAAGCACTTGAGAAGATCATGGCTTATATCAAGCACACCTTAGTCTTTAGACTGAATTTGTTGCTCTTTAGCACCCTGGAGAGACATTAAAAGTAATTTACAGATTAATATTAAAAGACTTTTACCATATAAGTTAGGATTAGATGAGAAATTGAGATGAAAACTGTCTTGGTATGGAGTAGGACCTATTTGGAAAGAGCACGGAAAATATCTATTGAGACTATACCAAAGGACCAAATAATCAGGTCATCTCAGAATCAGCCAGGCCTATCTGGAATTCCTTAAGTAGTACAGATTTTTTTTTTTTTTTTGCACTAATGTCCTGAGGCTGGACATGACTATAGAATTTCAATGGCTAGACTAGAGAGATGGTTTTCATCAGGAATCTAGAAAGTAAGTGCTTTGTTTCATTGGTTTTGAGTTTTCATGCCACATAGAAGTCTGTTGAAAATGAAAAAACACTCTGAGATATCAACGTCTTACATGATAGTTGGGTCAGTAAACAAAACTTGTGGATAAAATTAATACTGAAAGAGATTCTCATAATACTCAAGTTGACTATCACAGGACTAGGTAGTTTTGAGAAGTATATCAGCCTTATGGATGTATAATGATTTAATTGAAATTAAGATCTAGAAATAGGTGAACATTCTTCCTCTTTTGGCAGTTGTCTTTAGGAGTGCCTTGCACACATTTTAAAATGAATTTACACAACTTACCCACCCTCCTCTATACATTTTAAAGGAATTTGTTGTGCTAGAAATTTCTATAAACTGAGGGGAGCAGTCCTTCCACCCCCAGACTCCACACCCACTATTTCAATGTCATCTTTGTTTTTAAATAATCTTAATAATGATGTGACTTAAATTTTCTGTGTCCTTTGGCCTAATTTTATGGTCTTCATGACACTTCTCAGCATAACCCAGCCAAAGTCCTGGATATCCTAGTTGCTTACATATGTAGAAGTTTTTCAGTGACCTTGTTTGAAGGTCATCTAATCCTACCCTTTTCAGAGTCATTGATTCTACCTGGGGGAGTCAGGGGGTGTGTGTGTTTATGTGTACATGCACACACCTAGAGATTGGTCTTGAGTGTTGGGCTATGAGTCTTTGCACATCTACCTAAAGGAAAATTTTACATTGTAGGATTTTGTTTGTTTGCTATTTAAGAGGCCCTTGGATGCTTGTGTACCCATACTTCATTTGCCAAGTAAGTCCATTTGGTCGCAGGAGGAACTGTTGGGACTCAAGGGCTGGAGCAAACAGTACCCTGTCTTTTTCCCACACTCCCTAGGTTTATGGTGGGACCCAAGCTCGCTCTGTAAAGTATTGATGCGGGAGGCTAGAAGAGTGTGTCTGTGGATGGAATTTTGAGAAGGGTCCTAATAGAAAACTACGGTGTTACTGTGCCCCTCTCTACAGAAATGTGCTTCTCTGGCAGGAGGGGTAAACCCGGAGGTTGACCTCCAGGAGGGGCTGAAGAGGCAGCTTTGTCTGTGCAGTGGAGTTCAGTGGCCTACAGTGGTTCATATGGGCTCAGTGCCACTCTGATTTTCCAAGTACAGGCTGAGTCGCTTTGATTTGTCAATCACAATATTCTGAAGACCCCAAGACCCTTTTGCCTCAGTTCAAGGCAGGCAGGCTTAAGTCGGGGTTGCGGACCTGGCCTCGGGCAGAGAAGTCCTATGACCTGGTTGCACTATATTTACCTACTCACCACCCTTTGCCCTATCGAGGTCAGAGGATGCTTCTGGGTAGCTGCCAGGGCGTCTAGAGATCCAGGCTCGTGTCCATCCAGTCCCTCAGCGATCTACGCTTTGGCAAGAATCACAGTTGCCCCAAGACCCCTTTGCAACTAACACTCTTACAATTGCTGTTGCAACTCAAAGAGGAGGGCCTCCAGCAGACGAAAAGCTGGACACAGACAGGACAAACAGCTCTGATGCAGGCGCTTTACCCGGCGCTAGGACTCCAAGGTCAGGGTCGGAGCTTGAACCGCCTCCCCAGAGCCTCCCACGAAGCGAAGTAAAAGAAGCACCCCCCCCCCCATCGAAATGTTACAACAGTATGGTTTCAATTCCTCCCTTCACTTCCTGACCCTAGAGGGTTAAACCAGGAGGGTACAACGCCACCCCTTCCTCCCACTCCGCCTCCCCGCCCCCCTTACCTTTAAAAAGTTAAAAAATGTCTGCAGTCGAAATCTCTTAAAGGGGCGGTGCTGGTGAACGAGTACTCTTGGCACGAGTCGCTGAGAAGGCTGGCTAGGGGCGTGAGTTCGCTCCACCAGCACCAAAACACTGAAAAAAAAAAAAAGAAAAAAAAAAAAAAAATAGAGCGGGGGGGGGGTGGGGAGGAAGGAAAAAAAGGGGGGAAAAAGGCAGACAGACACACACTTTAGATAAGGACAATTAGTCACCAGCGAGACCCAGTAGAAGAAAGGTTTAAATCAGAGGGATTTAATGAGGGTGCTCTGTGTCTTCCCTGCAGCCATGCCCTTCAGTAACTCCCGCCCCCCCGCGTGCCTAGCCCTGGTGGCTCTCTTCTTAGCTCTCGGGCTCCATCTCTCCCTTTCTTCCCAAACTGGGGACAGGAGACCTTTGCCTGTAGACAGAGCTCCAGGTTTGAAGGAAAAGACCTTGATTCTACTTGATGTGAGCACCAAGAACCCAGTCAGGACAGTCAATGAGAACTTCCTCTCTCTGCAGCTGGATCCGTCCATCATTCATGATGGCTGGCTCGATTTCTTAAGGTAAGGCAGGGGCTTCGATGGATTTTGTTTTTAAAGTAATAGTCCTCACCCCCTTCTATCCCACCCCCCCATTCTAAAAGAGGAAGAAGAGAAAGAAGAAGACAAGAAAATAAGCCAAGTGAATCTCTCAAAGAGAAGAAAGGAGTTTTTCCTTCTCCTGGAATATTTGCTGTGAGGCTGTTACTGGTGATTGAGAAAAGCAATGTTTTCTATTAAGATGCACATGTTTGCAATGCAGAAGGCATTTCAGAAACTTATCAGTTATGACTGAAAAAATGTTATGCTTACATATATCCACAATTAGCCTCCCCGTCTACTTTTGAAAAAGAAATAAGAGGTTCAGAGCTGTTACAAAAGCGAAGAAAAGGTCTTGAGCAACAAAGACCCGAGAGGAATGGGTGTGTGTTTGTGTGTGAATCTCTCTCTGTGTGTGTGTGTGTGTGTGTGTGTGTGTGAGAGAGAGAGAGAGTGCGTATTTGCATGTGTGTCTGTGTCTGTGAGTATTCAAGCGGAGAGCACACGAAAGTGGAATTTTCCACGGAAAAAGCGTTTCATCAGTTCGCTCCCACTTCCAGACAGAAACGAATTTAATTAAGTAGAGACTTGAGCACTGGGCAAGTTGGATAGGATTTTTAAGTTTTTATTTCATATCTTCTGCTGTTGTCTCCAGACTTCAGGATTTTCTAAGAAGGTTTTATATAGACGGAATGGCCCCCAGTCCCTCCTCCTCAAATCTCCTGCGGTAACGGCATAGTTTAGTTTTTCTTTAAAGAAAAAAAAAAATCTTAGCTCCGGTCTTAGCGTATATAAGGGAAGCATGTAAGGTCCTAGAAATACTGAGCCGAGCACATGCAGATTTGTGACCACGGCTCGCTCTTCCCACAGGGGTGGAATCTAACTGGACTCCGTTCACTCCCGGCTGTTGCTGTTTAGCAGTTAGTCAACTGCAGAAAAAGTTGTGTTTATTTAAAAAGAAAGAATTAATCTGCAATGTTGAAACCAAGTGTTGAGCTTTTAAAACTTCCCTCCAAATGGAGCCTCAGCTGTGGGCTCCTTGCGCGCTTGTTCCCCTCCTCTGCCCAGAGGCCGCGTTCTCTGTGAGTCTTTCGTGAGTATTTTCCACTTTGCGAAATCTGAGTGTTGCATCTTCAGATGCGCCCGCCCCTTGCTCCCAGGCTCTGCCCTTGGCCATGGAGGAGTCTGCAGGGATCTCAGGTAGCTGGAGGTACCACGTAGAGCGCGCCTTCCACGTGCAGCCTGAGTGCTGATGCCTCGGCCACCGAGGTTCTTTCGGTTCCGGTGCCTCCACCGGGAGGGTGGGAGCAGCCCAGTGCAGCGCGGCTTCCTCTGTGAAAGCTCCTCTGTGCTGCCAAGCGCGCCTCTGAGCTCATCAGAATGGGGTGCTAGAGGGGTTTTCCTAAACATGCTCTGCACTGCATGGCCCTTCTCCAGCTGCGCGAACTCCTCCGAGTTTTGTTTTGGTTTTAAAAAAATCAGCTTGCGAGCGCTAAAATGTTGGCTGCAAGAATGATGCCGAAAGGGGGCTTTGAGGGATAGAAGCATTGGCGGGCTTCATTTGCATTGGCTGCGCTGGGTTCCGGATGCACGGATGTTGGAAATGCAGTCTCCTGCGGACTCCTCTTCCTCAGAGCTGGGCTCCTCTGCCAGCCCCGGGCGGGCACGCAACACCAGCAGCTGCCTTCCCTGGAGCACGTTCTGGAGTCGTCAGCCATGCGACCTTTGCTGGCCACTGGACACCTCAGAAACTCTCCAAAAGAAGAGTCTTTTCCTTTGTATCCACTTTCCTTATGACACCATTTAGTTTTGGGGGTTGGATTTTCAGAACCATAACCAGCAAAACATTTAAAATATCGTACAGATCCAGAACACTGGAGCAGATCAGTTCAATACTTGAGCTTCCGTGCGTTGCTCTTGCTGGAGTAAGCTGCGTGTGGCTCTACCAGTTTTTTTTTTTTTTAATGTTTATGAAAATCTTGAGCCTAAATAGATTCGATACCAGTCTTGGTGAACCTTGAATTTCCTCCGACGCGCAGGTTCCACATTTGGGCAAACTTTACTTTTTCCCCCATAGTGCCACCAAACTTACCCAAATGGAAAAGAAAAAGGACAGAGCTCTTCTTGGGTTTAGAGGAGATAAGGCTGAATTATTTAAGAGGTCAAAGAAGCAGTGCTGTGAGGAGAATATTTTTTTTTTTCTCGAAGAGGCAATGGTTTACCCTCTGGAATCTTTCCCGCCCGAGGATTTGGGAGATGAATGTACTTGTTAAGTAGTGGGAAGAAAGGAAAATAAACCTTGGCATTAAGGGCGAAAGAAAGTGAGAATCAACTTGATCTCAGGCGCTGGGCCTAGCTTGAGAGATAGAAGGCTGGTTAATTTTCTCCTCTGAGGCTCCGGTGCTCCTAAAGGTGCTAGGGCAGATCCTGACTTTCAGGATAGAAGTTTGGCACAAGTTAGAGCCCCGCAGCCCACGCGCTGCGCGTTCCCGTCAGCCGCGCCTGGTAGGCAGTGGCAGCAGCTGGGCTTAGTGTCTTGTTAGCAGTGTCCCTCCTGCAACCCTCCCCCCCCCCCACCGCACCTCTTAGCAAACACAAATTCTAACCTTTTGGAAGACAGTACCTTTGGTTAGTGATGTCGATGGAACAGAGGGAGAGACCCTTTGGGCTGGCTGGGGTGTAATTGGCGTCGTCCAGGGATCTGGCAGCAGACGGCCAGGCAGACTGGGGCTTCAAGAGCGAATGAGGCTGTGGAGAGCGGGTGCGCCACCTGGGCACAGAGCCCCAGGCCCTAGCTAAGTCGCTGTGGGGAGTGGGAAGAGGGCCATACTCTGCGCCCCTGGTGCTCTCACCTCCTTCACACACACACACACCCACATCCTCCCTGGATCTTTTCCTCTCTCTCTCTCTCTCTCTCTCTTTGCCCCTACAGCTCCAAGCGCCTGGTGACACTGGCCCGGGGACTTTCGCCCGCCTTTCTGCGCTTCGGGGGCAAAAGGACAGACTTCCTACAGTTTCAGAACCTGAGGAACCCCGCAAAAAGTCGCGGGGGCCCCGGCCCAGATTACTATCTCAAAAACTACGAAGATGGTGAGAAACTGAATTCCCATTCTTGCGGGCTGGGCCGGTGGGTAAGTTTGAGGAGCAATAGCAAACACCCGCTGTGAGTGTGAGTGTGTGTGTGTGTGTGTGTGTGTGAGAGAGAGAGAGAGAGAGAGAGAGAGAGAGAGAGAGAGAGAGAGAGACAACGATAGAAAGAGTAAGACAGAGATAGTTTTATTTGGAGAAGATCCTGGTTGAAATTCCTTTAAAGGAGCTGGTAGGTCAGGCAGGGGACACCTTGAGTGTCTTAAGAGTGGGACTACTGGTGTAATTGCACAAAGAGGACTCACCAGGATGTCCTTGCCTTTACTTTAGGTCTCTCTGTGGGTTGCAGAGCACCAGAGCCTGGGAACTGGTAGCCAAAACCTAGGACTTCAGCTAGGACTTCTGGCAGGCCAGTCATATGGGGAGAAACTGAAGTGAGTTAAGAAACTCAAGAGAGGAAATCCAGTCAGGTTTTATTTTAAATGCCTAAAGTGAAATCTTATTTCTCAGATTCTAGGGAAAATAATTCCCCCTCCTTTAAACTTCTTCACCCCTTCCTGGGTTGAAGATACAAGAGATTCTTTTTTGAAAACCACTCTAGAAGATAATCCCTTTCAGATTGGTCTCATGTTGGGGAAGATTTTTAAAACTCCATATTGGGTTCTTCCTCAGACTGCTTAATCTCAGATGGCATTTTGCCTCAATTTAGAAAATGGTATTACAAATAACCATCTTTCTATCCTGCCGGGGTCAGATGAGTTGAGTTGGAAGGGCTTTGGAATAAAAATACCAGATCCAATTCCATTGTGAGAAGCTAGTTGGCTTTTTTATTTTTTTTTTTTTTAAAAAAGTTGGAATAGTCTCTTCTCCTCCATCCAGGAAAAAATGAAAATGGTGTTTAAATAAAAACTGTTTGGATAGTTTGATGTTAATAGGCAAGGCTGTTTGTATGGAGAGGAACACTCTTTCAAGTGGAAATTGTGGATCTTCAGCCATTAAGATGTTTAGCTTGAAAGGAGTGAGTTGGTATCTATTCTTGGAAGGCTGTCTCTGCCCTACTGTCCCTTATAACTATGTACAGTTTTATTTTTAAAGAACCTAAGGCCAACCTTTCAGAACTGTGGATTTTGTTGTATCTTATCCTTTAAATCAGTAAATTGAGGAATTGCCCTTATATTTTCTCTGAGAAATATTGTTATCAGTCTTGTAATTTCCCTCCAAGGTAGTGGTGTTAGTCTCTAGAGTAACTGAGGAATATTTTTTTTTTGAAGTGCCAGAATGGGAAAAGGGGGGCATTGTTGAAATTTATTATGCTTGAAGCATAAAGAAGACTGACTCTTTTTATAGCATTTTCCAAAAGCCAGCAAATTAGTGGATAAGTGTTTAAGGCAGCACCTTTTTAAAGATAAAAGTCATTGCCATAGAGTGCGTGTAGATTTTGTTGTCATTTAGCATATAGAATTGAACGGTAAAAGAGTAGTAGCTCTGAAGGTAAATTGACCCAGGGCCTCATAGCTTCTAGAGTCACTGTCTATCATGAGACCCCAGAAAGGTGGTTTTCTTGATGAAACAGCTCTTCTTTGAGTCCCTATGGACTACTTCCTCTTTAGCTTGTGGAAACACTTGTAAGAGCCCCAGGAGTCTGGGAGGGAAAAAGACCACTGTGAATGTAGGAATTGGCTCTTTCCCCTCAAACTTATACCTAGGAGTATACTACTAGGTCCTTAAAGAATGACAAGATCAGCTTATAGTGAAGGATATTATTTGCTTCCATTTGTTAAAAGGAGAAAATGAACATCAAGGGGAGAAAAGAAATTTGTAAAAATCAGAACTGAAAAAAATCTAAGAAAGAGGTTATCTTCAGCCCTCTCATTGCTTTAGAAGCCAGCACAGGACCATTCCATATGGAATCTTTTTCTTATTTTTGTCCAACCTGGTATTAAATATCTCTAGGAATGTAGTTTTCACCAGTCCTGGGGGAGAGAGTTATACTGTCCAAAAGTTTTTGCTGACAAATTCTCATGAATTTTCCCTTTATAAGTATTTTCCAAATATTTACTATTCTACTTTTTAAATTTTTTAGAGATCAAAATAATTTTAGTCTTCAGTGTGAGGTCAGCTTCAAAAAATGTTTCTTCATAGCTGGGTTTTTTTGTTTTTTTTTTTTAAAATCTAGACTACCTGGATTTAATTCTTTTAAAACTTTCCTTAAAGTCAATCCTTCTAGACACTAATCTGTTTTATTGCTCCTAGCTGAACTTCTTTTGATTTATGTCTCTTTGGTAATAAGATGCTCTGAACTATATCACTTATTTGAGGCCTTAGCAGAGTTAAAGGGAGTAAATCCCCCCCAAATCAAACCCACTGCTGTCAAGTTTACTCTGACTCTCAGCTATCCTTTAAGACAGAGTGGAACTCTTCCATAAGGTTTCAAAGGCTGTACATTTTTTAAAAACATTTCTTCCCTTCCCCTCCTACTTTCACCGCATGTGGCCCAATGGAGCTGCTGGAGGGATTGAATCACATGACTTTGTATTATAAACCAAACACTTTAACTATAATGCCAGGAGAGAGTAGGAACATTCTATTTTTTGGTCTTTAAAATGCACATATTCTTTAATCACCCACATTATCTTAATTGATATATGCTGCATTGTAGAAATCAAGGTGAAAAACTTTTTTTTTTAGTGTGGCCTCTTTAATTATGTGAACATTACATTTAATTTGTCACTTTTCATTCAGAGATGGTTGCCACCATCATAAGCATTATAAATAAAATAATTAGATCTTTTCAGTTGAATTGCCCTACAATCAACACTTGGGCATAAAGGTACCTTATGTATATTTAAAGGTTATATTTACTTAAACATGATTCAGAGTAACCTTGTACATTTTGAGTAATAATACTTATTGGCACACTGTGAAACTGTATGATATAGTGAGAAGCATGCAAAATTTGGAATTAGAAAGCCTATGTTTCCAGCCTGCCTCTGCTTAGGACTATGTGGTTCTGCACATACTGCTGCTGTGTAGCAATAGAATGATAGTATCTGCTTTTTGCTGCTCCTGTGAGAGTTCTAAGAGGTATTTTGTGTAAAATATTTTGTCACTTGCAAAACACTAATTGAAGGATAAAATTCTTAGTTTTAGTAAAGGCAACTTCAGAAATACCTGCTTAAAATGTTAAATAAATCTAAGGAATGAATAAAATTATTGGAAGCCAAATTTTACACAGAAAAAGAAGACAGATTTAGAGAACTGTTTGAGGCAATTAAGAGACCATAGGGATGACTATCTTTAAGGAATGAAAGTAGATACTCCTCCCTGCCTCCCAAATATGCTAACATTTTTAACTGCTAGTTCCAGTGAGGCACAATTTTTGACTAATTTATTCTTATTGTTACCTTAGGGTGATTTCCCTCTCCTTTGTTTTCCCTTCTGAATTATGTGTCATTAATCACTTAACAAGTCATGTGTTTTCATTTTCCTAATACTTTTTGAGTATATTAAATGCAACTTTGTCTTTGCTAATTATAAAGTTACTGTTTATGTATCACTTTGGGAACTTCTTTGGTTACACCTTTAATACAGTTACCTGTTGGGCTCTGTTCAGTCAACAGGAATTCCATATGAACACAGTGATCTTGGAAAGAATAAAAATAAGATTGTTCTTTATAACCTACAAATCTTACCTTTTTTTCTTAACTTCCTCTCTGTTCTGTGCAGTGTTATGGTTTACTTGCTTTCAACAAAGAAATCTTGATTAATCTTTTGTTCTAAAGTTTATTTTGCTAGTCTGCCTTTCTTTGTTATCTATTCATTGCCCTCCATTTGTATGCCTGTCTCTTTATTGCCATAACCATATCTTTATTCAAGATGTATACCATTTATTATACACATCAAAAGCCAGTTTAATATTTCTAAAATGCCACATTCATTCTGTCCCTCTTGCTCACTTGTTTTTTTTTTCAATATGCACAGAAAATGTTCAAACTTGGCAAAGTCTTCAATATTCCAGTATCGGCTTACTTTTTCCTACCTATGTTTCTATATATCCCTTATTAGAGCAATACTTGATTATTTAAAGTTCCTTTTCTGTCCACATATATTTGTCCAGCCAGTATATCTCTATTTCGGATGCCTTTTTCCAGTATCTCTCCAAATTTAACTTTACCCTAATAACTTCTTGAAAGTACATTGCAAATGTGCCTTCTTTTCATGAAAGCCTTCTTTCTTGAACCCACTATTCTATAGTGATTTCTTTATTTTCTGAATTATAGCATTTATTCTATATGCTGTTAATTTGGTCTCTTGCCTTGTTTTAGATTTAACTTTATATATATATATATTTGTTTTACCTTAATGTATATTCTAATGAGACTATTCAAATAGTTCATTTCACTTTAAGATTCCACAAGTTGAAATTGACTCAATGGCAGTTGATTGTGGTTTGGGCTCTAATAGTGATCTGAAAAACTGTCTTTTTTCTTGATTTTTTACTCTACCAATTTTATCTAGCATTAAAATAAGTATAGAATAGTCTTTCAATAAATATTTAATAAATAGACATTAATAATCAAGATGCACGTAGGTGAAATAAAACAAAGGAAAAACATGGACAATCTGCTCCCAAACCATTTACAGCTTCTGAAACCCTCTGTCAGTCCAGTTATGAGTCAGTTCAGGCTGAACAACAGTGAGAAAATTATCATTAGAGTAGGGAGCTCTGGTGGTCTCATGGCAGGAAGCTGCACTGTAGTCCTGAAAGCACACAGTCTGAGGCCACCAGCAGCTCCATGGGGGAAGGATGAGTAATCTCCTTCTTTCAGAGCAAACTGCCTCTGAAAACCAACCAGAGGGTCAGCTATAGTTTGATTGTACTGATAATCCAAGGGCAGATGGTTCAAACCAGCTGCTCCATGGGAGGAAGAAGAGTAGCTTTCTCCCATGTGATTTAAACCCTTTTGAAAATCCCCTGGAAAGTCAGCTATGCATTGGTTCCA